AGTATTTAGCTGAAGCTAACGCTAAAGGGCTACACCAGCACAGTATTTAGCTGAAGCTAATGCTAAACTGCTGTACCAGATCGACATTTTACAGAACAGTCAAGTAAATTAGGACTTTATCATTTATCCAGAAAAGTTACTTTAGGGGAAGCTAAGTGTGCTGAACGTTTTCAAAGTTAGTAAAAATGCTATGCATGTGGTTAGCTAGCGACTGCTGCTGGGGTTCTTACCCGGGTACTAGACTCTTCATCACCACCATCATCATAATCAGCAGTGAACTCACTCTTCACATCTTCATCCTCACCGCTCAGCTCTGCAGGGAGAACAGATGCAGAGAAAGCAGGAAAATTTCAGCTGTGGCTTCCTGACTGACTGTTGGACTGGAAAACCTGGAAAAACCTGGAAAACCCAGCGGAACTTCCAGGAAATGCTCATTCAACATGTCGCAGATTCCAGGAGAATCTGGGGCAGAAAAACTGATTTACTGTTCAAACCTGCTGCAGTTTGAGCTCCACTGAACCCTGATTTTAAATCTGAGCTAAATGAGCGACCTTTGACCTGCATGTTTCCAACACGCCTGATTTAATTAACATTTCAATCTTCCTGATGACCAGTGAAGGGAAAATCAGTTTTGGTCTGAAGATAAATGGATCCAAAGCAAAACTGAACTTCCTGATGGTTTCATTATTCATAAAAACTGAATGTCATGTTCAAGTCTGTGAGTTATTTATGTTTGTGTGGATAAATTTAGCATTTTACCTGTGAATTAACCCACCTGGATGCAGCCAACAGGTTCAAATGACGCATTTGTTTGTTTTACTGTTGTTGCTCAATAATCACATTTGTTTCAGATGAAAATATGAGTTTTGATGTTTTACTTCATGTAAAATTAAATATATATGACTAGTTGTAGTTGCCAGAGGGAAGCGTTGCTGAGAGGAGGAATCTGGAGTCAGCAGCTTAAAATCACAAACACACGATGCAAAATCTGCAGCTTTATTATTTATTATGGAGGCTCCAGGCAGGAAAACAGCGGCAGGTACTGCGTGCGCACGCACACACACACACACTAAAACATCCCATTAATCAGTCCAGGAAACGCTGGAAAAAAGCAGCTGGTTAGATTTTCTTATTATTTCAACACAGAAAGCCAAAGTCTGAACATGCCGTTAGTCACAATAAAAACTGAATAATTATGAGCTTAGTAATATTTAACAATCGTACTTACACAAACTGATGCCAAAATGAAGCATAGTTATTATAATTTATAAAGAATGTTTTATTTACTGAAAATAATAAATCCACATAACATATGAGATTCATTAAGTTATTAGTTTCTCCATCTTATCCTCCCATCCTGCATGTAAACACAGTTTATAACTTTCATTTTATTTGACAAACATTCAGAAGGTTTTCAGGTTAGTATTTCCACCCAGATCAAGCAGCCGCTGCCCGTCGCTCCGACCCGTCACCATGGCAACAGCGCCCCCGGTGGCGCGGAGGGGAACTACAGGTACCAGCTTCTCTGATGCCCACCTCCAAACTCAGGCTGCTGGGCGGCTTCCTGCCGGACCAGAACCTCCCTCAGCTCCTGGACCTCCAGGGTCAGCCGCTCCACCAGAGGAAGGTCCGACGGGTCTGCCATCTTCCTCTGAAGGTCCTGCAGGGCAGAACCAAACCAGAACCAGCAGAACATGAGCACCAGGACCAGAACCAGCAGAACAGCAGCAGCTAGGGGGAGCTAGAGATCCCCCAAGAAAATATCAGAAGTATTATTTCCTTTTTTAGCAATATGTTCTGCAGCAGAACATACTGGCTGCTAGCCCCGCTAGCTGCTAGCCTGGTTAGCTACTAGCCCCGCTAGCTGCTAGCCCGGTTAGCTGCTAGCCCCGCTAGCTGCTAGCCCGGTTAGCTGCAGCGTCTCACCCTGATGATCTCCTCCTTCAGGCTCAGACTGCGGCTCAGATGGTCCAGCTGCTCGGCCCGACTCCTCGTCTCCTCCTGGTTCTGCTCCTCCCTCTTCAGCGCCAGGCGCAGCTCCTGCTGCAGCGCTGCGGCCGCGTCTGGCTGCGACCCGGAGCCCAGCTGCCGCTGCAGCTCCTGCACTCTGTGGGTCTGCTCTTCCAGAACCTCGGTGAGTCGGGCCGCTGAGTCCTGAGGGAGTCGGCAGCGAGTCAGAGTCCGAAACCTCTAAAGCGTCAAACTTGCATCCTAAACTAATTATTACTGAACATGTTTTGACTCTGATGGATTCCATGATTGTTTTTGTGATTTTTGAAATATTCGCAGGAAGTTTTGCGATATTATCACGTTTCAAGGAAAATGCGACTTTTGTTGCTTGACATTGACCACAAACTGCAACCTGACATTAAGTAGGAAATGCTGCCACCTGCAGGTGGGAGGTGGTATCATGTAAATCCAATGTTTGTGACAATTTTGTGGAATCAAGTCATTTTGTTGATTTTCTGTTGATTGATCTGATTTGGATCTGATTTGGCAGCAAACAGGTGAAAACTGCTTTGATTTTTAGAATCATATTTAACAGCTGTAATCTCGAAGTATTTGTGTTTTTCTGGAGTCTGGAGGGCCACATGAGAAGCTTGAGCGGGCCACAGCTGGCCCCCGGGCCTCCAGTTTGTCCACTCTGTTTAAAGTCTGGCTGTACCTGGATGTACTGGTCCCTGGAGCTGATGGTTCTGAGCAGGTCCTGGACCTGCTCCTGGTGCTCCCGGGCCTGCCGGGTCCGGTCTGACATCACTTCCTGGAAGAGGCGGTCTTTCAGCTGGAGGCGGAGCTTCAGCTCCTCCAGAACCTGACCCGGCGCCGACTGGACCTGAGGCAGCAGAGAGCAGAGCAGGTCCTGCAGGAAGCAGGAAAAATATATTATATATGCATCAACATGTAGCCTGTTAGCTTCATGCAGCTGGACTTGGCTAACGTTGTTCCTTCACTTAGACAAGAGAAGCTAACCTGTGCCAAGTAGTTTTTTATTCATTTTGGATATTTGAAATGTTTTGCAGTTCCAGTGTTAAATATTCATTAATTTTAACGTTTATTGATCTTTATTATTAGCGTCATATTAGCTGAAAATGGTCTCAAAACAACATTACTGTTCATCGTGATAACTTCTGGGACGATTCCAGGAACGTTTAAATCACCTGGGCCTCCTGCGTGCGAGCGAGCAGCGCCGCCTGCAGCTGCTCAATGATGCCGTCTCTCTCCTTCAGGATTTGACTGGTCCGCTCGTCGGCGTCCCGCTGCTGCCGCCGGACGCCGGTCCAGGCGTCGGCCAGTTGCTGCAGCTGGAGCTCCTTCCCCCTCAGCAGCGCCTCCAGGCTCTGGGTCAGACACACAGAGGGTGGGCAGGGAGCCGGAGCCGGCCCTCGCCTCGCCGCAGCGAACACTTACAGCAATGGTTTCCTCGTTGTTGGCCAGAACGCGGCGCTGCCTCTCCAGGTCGCGCTCCTTCTCCCGCAGCAGCAGCTGCAGCTGCCGACTCGCCGCGTCTCGCTGCTCCGCCGAGCGAAACTTCTCGTCAACGGCTCGCTGCAGGGAGGCAGGACCAGCAGGACCGGTCAGGTTTTAGTTTCAGTTAATGATGATGAAGTTAAATCGGAGGGTCTGCGTTCACCTCCAGCGCTCGGTCTCTCTCCGTTATTCGCTGCCGCAGTTTCTGCAGCACAGAGTCTCTGTTCTCCTTCGGTTCCTTCAACATCTCACCGTATTCCTGCAGCACAGATCAAACCAATAAGTTTATTTAATAATGGAAGAAAAGGAGGAGAAACTGTTTACAGAGACTTTTATATTAGTCTAGAAGAATAAAATACAGAAAATGATGAAAACACCTTCATGAGAGAAATACATTAATATGGAAGAGAAAATTTAATATTTGTTTAGTAAATTTTGAAAAAGTTAAATGTTGAAGCAAAAAGGAACTGTTCATAATTTAATGAACATGAATCCTAAGTCTAGAATTTTGTTCAAACTGTTTTTTGTACAACACTGAAATGAATCAAATGAATCTTGATAACATTTAAACTGACGTCGTTTTAAGCCGTTTGTTTCACACCGTATTTATGACGATTGGTTTATAAATGAACCTGAAGCTCAAACTGCTGATCGTCTTAAACGTTTTGGTTGAATCAGAGAAACTCCCAGCTCTCCGTTTGGTCTTCATATTCTGTGTTTTAAGTACGTTGTGTTTTCCACAGGTAGCTGAGTGGTCAGCTACATAAATTTCATCCCGTGTGCAGGAGCCCGTCCCTGATTGGCTCCAGCAGACGACGGAGACGTCCCATTGGTGGCCTGCTGACTTCCTGCCTGACCTCCACCGGCCTCACGCTGCTGGTCGGTTAAACACTTTGAGTTTCCTCAGTTTCCTGTTTCCCTTAACTGGGTTTAGTCATTTGGTTTATTTGCTTTCAAATAGGTTAGTCCTGGTTAGTCCTCAGTTTCCTTCAGTTTATTCTTTGTGGCTCTGAAGCCTCTTGTTGTAACATGTCGGTCAAAAATACATCTTTTTACAATAAATAACATGATAAAACGTTAAACTTTGTCTCCTTCATGTTTTGATCTGGTCACTGCAGTGACTCTGCTCTGCTGCTGCAGTTTGACCTCTGACCTGAAGCAGCTGCTCCTTCAGCTGCAGGTCGGCCCTCAGCTCCGCGACGCTGCGCTCTCTCTCCTCCCTCTCCCGCCGTCTCTCTTGCTCGCCCTCGCTCAGCTGGTCCTCCCTCGCCTGCAGGTCGGACCGGACCGTCTGCAGAATCAGCTGCAGCTCCTGGACACAGAAACCCATCAGAACCTCTGCTGCAGGCGCCGGCGTCCGGCCGGGTCAGTCGGCGGCTCTGCTGACCCGGTTGTGTCGCTCCGTCTCCCTGCGGTGCTGCAGCGCCCCCTGTAGGTCTCTCTCCAGCCTCTCCAGAGCCCGGTTCTGATCCTCCTGAGCGCGGTCCGCCCGGCGCTGAGCGCGCTGGGCCGCCTGCAGCTCCAGCTGAGCCTGGAACAGCGCCCCCTGCAGGGCCAGAACCTCGCCCTGACCCGGAGCCGCCTTGGTGCCGGACAGCTACGGGTTGGGGAGGGGCAGCGGGTCAGTTAGCTGCACTGCATTTTGCTAACGTCAAAGAAGCAGCTGTGGCGTCTCCACAGATCACATGAAGCAAAAACAGAAAATTAAACCAAATATTTCTGTTTACATAAGGCACTGAAGTAACCATGAGATAAACTCATGATTCAGCCAAGGTGGCGCTAGCGCTCATCATCTATCAGCCAATAAGAGGAGACGTCTGCGTCTGAGTCAGAGCAACAAGCCCCGCCCACTTGGAGCAGCTTTTTAGGGAAACTATGGTCGGCCATTTTACATTAGCCTCTCAGTTTCTACGCATTTCAATTAAACTAAACTTTTTCTGCGATGCTGTGAACCGCACTGGAAAAACAACAACAGACCACTTCCTGTCACTTCCTGTCACCTTCTTTGTCGTTTCCTCCAGCAGTAACAGCCGGATGTTCATCATGTGACGTGATGTGAAAATAAATCTGTCCACCAGAGTTTTGTGAAATTTTATTCCCATACGGCTGAAAAACGATATCTTAGCGCAGAAGGCTTCTATCAAAACGGGAGTTTTTATGTAATTTGCTCATTTCTGTTGGTGATTTTGGTTCCAGTAACTCTGTGATTGATGGAAACGGTTTCAGACGACGGCTCAAACCTGGCTGCGGTCAGCGACCTCCCTGAGGGAACGCAGCGCCTGGTTCTGCTCCTCCAAGGCTCTGCTCAGATCAGAAACCTGCAACACATGAACCCGGAGATGCAGCTGTTACTCATCCAGCGCAGGAACAAACTCTGAACAATCAAAACCTCTTTATTCTGTCTGTGTCGGCTGCGCTACGCACAGGCCCGTTGCCATAGCAACAACAGCTCCACTATCGAATCGGGATTCAAAAACACTCAAACATTTCCACACCACGATCAGAACATTCAGTCCGTCACAGATCCACGTTTTCAGGCTTGATGTTTATTTTGTGATAATTAATAACTGATAGTTTTTAAATTCTGCTGCATCTACATGTTACGATTGTCAAAGTCAAGCTAGCATAACTGAGCTACGTGCCTCTTCTGCTTATTGTTTCATAATTTTAACTTTTTCCTGACCTTATTATCTGTCAGTATTGACATTTGGTAGCAAAGCACTGCGTCTGTTTTCCTTTCACATATCAGAGGTACGTTGAAGCGCATTACGCTAATAGCAGCTAGCAGCAGTGTTAGCTGTTAGCCAGCAGCTTTTAGCATGCGGCGCGTTATGCTGCTCTCACCTCCGTCTCCTTGGAGCCGACGCCGTCAGTCAGGTTCTGGATGAGCCTCTCCTGCTGCTGCGCCTCATCCTGCGCCGAGCGCAGCTGCAGCTCCATGGCAGCCAGATGCTCCTGCAGCTTCTGCAGACCAGACAGAAACATCCTCAGCATCTCGGAACCGGACCGGCTCGGGAGCCGGTTCCGGCCCTGGAGCCGGGTCTGGTACCTGGTTCCGAGCCTCGCTCTCCCTGATGTTGACCTGCAGCGATCGGACCTGGTTCTGGGCCTGCTGCAGCTCTGCCACACACTGACCTGCGGCGCTCTGGTACCGACTGAGCTGATCATGCTGCTCACCGATCAGCCGCTGGGAAACGCATCAGGAAAAACAGGAAACGCATCAGGAAAACAGGAAACGCATCAGGAAAAACAGGAAACGCATCAGGGAAACAGGAAACGCATCAGGGAAACAGGAAACGCATCAGGGAAAACAGCCCGGCGCATCAGGAGCAGAAATCTGGTAAAACCCCAGACATGTTTCAGTTTAAACGACTCTCAGAAAGTCAGACTTTTCTGACCGAATCTCATTTTTACAAAGTTTAAAAAGCAGAAAAGCTGCTGGAGGAAACGGCTGGCTGCTTCTGATCGAACCTCTGACTTCATTTGCGTCATGGTTCTACGAGCGCACAGTGAAACTAATGCCAACATGGAGGACGCGGCGCTGCTGCTGGTTCTGAAGGACGAAGTGAAAGTCGGCTGATGTCCCTGCAGGAAGTGGTTCCTGTAACTTCCTGCTTTTGGGACTCAGATCCTGGTTCTGCTTTGCTCGGTTAAAACATGAAGCTGAATACAGAAAAGGTTGTAAATGAAAATGTTTTTATTGCTCAGAAAAGGTGAAATGTTTTTGTTTTCTTCTGAAAACTCAAACTGGAGCCTTTTTATACGTTTTCACTTTTTTCACAAGTAAATTGTGTCAAAACGATTTGAAGTTTTTAATTTATGATCCCACAAAAACAAAATCAGATGTTTTAAATTAAAATAGTTCATGGTTTGTTTGTTGTTGAAGAAGCAGTATTTTTGTTGAATTTAGTTTTAAAATGTTTTTTTTGGCCAGCCTGCTTCAGCTGCTCGTTTTCCTGGTGGACGTTCAGCGGATGATCCTGGATCCTAACTGGTTTCACTGGTTGGATTTCTGGCTGCCTTCCACAGGGAAACTGATTTGGGAGCAGCTCTTTTCCTCGTTCCTTCGGCTCCAGCAGCAGCCGCCTCCGATTTGCTGAAATCTGCCTGGAGATTCCTCGCTCCGCTGGGTAAACTGGGTAAACTGGGAGCTCTCTGCCACATCCAGGCCCATCATTTACATCACAATGGGAGTTATGAGGGCCGCCGCGTGGAGACTGTTGCCAAGGCGACACAGGGGTTGCTAGGATACGGATGTTGGGGAGTGGTAATGGAGGAGCAACAGGGAAAAACTCCTGTTCCCATTTTGAATCCAGAGAGGGATGTCCAACATGCGACCCGGGGGCCGTTTGTGGCGCTTAGGCTGATTTTTTGTGGCCCCCCAACTGAAGTTTGAGACTGATACAAATTTATCCGGTCCATCCAAGGTGGTTGATGCAGATTTACTTTTTATACATTTATTACAGACATAATTTTCTTACGAGTGAAAATGTAAAGCACAAAGTATTCACCGTTTTATAAGAAGTAAAACCTCGTTTATCCAGAGTTTTACTGAAAAGCCAACTTTGCTGAACCCAAATCAGTAAATTTATTTAATTTATTAAAGATGGTTAAATATTAGTGTCTTAAAGTATAACTGGAAATAAATGCGCTCTAAATATTAAATGTGTGAAATGTCTTTCTGCTATTTCAGCCAAATCATCCCTTTCCTAAACATAAACATTAACTACTGTATTTGCTTGATTTTAGTTCTTTTTATTTTTATTTTTCTGGCCCACTTACGGATGGGCGACATCATGGGCGTAAAATTTTAATCAAAATGTTTTGTAGCTATATCGGAACATTATTCAAAAACCTATGTTGCTACTTTTTTAGTGAACTATGTGACATTATAACAGATGTTAAATCCAGAAAAAATCAACTAGAAATGCTCAGTTCCCCAACATGTGGCGCCCTCTTCAGGCGGCGCCCCTTGGCGCATGCCCACTTTTCCCGCCGCTGCGCCCTGATGGGGACCAGCCTGGGGTCAGGGGTCTCCTGGACTCCATCTACCTGCTGGAGGCGGAACGGGCCGCACTGGAGGTAATCATCCAGCCACTGCTCCTCCAGCTCCTCCAGCTCCGCCTGCAGCTCCTCCTCCGGACAGAGCACCACCACCTCCGGGACGGCCGGGTGGAGGGACAGGCTCGGATCCAGCTTGCCTTTGACCAGAACCGGGAGCTTGCTGCCCCTGGGCGGGGTCACCGGCCGGTACTCCCAGCCCCGCAGGAGGCCCAGCAGCACCTCCGCCCCGGACAGGGAGCTCCCAGTCTGGGGTTTTCTCCAGAAGGGACCCGCCTCCTCCGGGTTCGGGTCCGGTTCCTCCTTGGTTCTGTGGAGCTCCAGAGACTCCACGGAGGATGCGGGGCTGTGGCTCCGTTTGTCCGCCTCGGCGGTTCTGCTCAGGTCCTCCACCCCCAGAGCGGAGGCGGAGTAGCGGGTCGACGGCCCGCAGGAGGTGCTTCTGCGCCCGAACCTTCTCGGAACCTTACAGACCGCCTCGTAGTCCGAGTCCGCGACCCGCAGCGCCGCGCAGCCGCGGCACCTGCGGGGCTTGTGGCCGGCCTCGGCTCCGGTGCAGTGGTGGAGCGGCTGGTCTGGCGCCGCGTCCTCCCGATCCGCCCAGGACTCGAACCCGGAGAACACCAGGTCGTCCTGGATCAGGTCCGAGTAGCTGCCGTCCAGGTCTGCGTCCTCCCCGCCGGCCTCCCCCGGGTTGCTCCTGCGGTACAGCCCCGCGATGCAGAGCCGCAGCCGCTCCTTCTCCAGCAGCAGCCGCTGCAGGCGCTCCAGGGACAGCGCCTCCACCCGGGCCACCACCGTGTCGAACCGGAACATCCGCTCCAGCATGAAGGCGCACTTGGAGCAGGCGAACTCCCCGCGGCCGTCCCGGCCCAGCCCGCGGCCCAGGGCGTGTGCCAGCAGCACCTGCAGGCTCAGCTTGGCTGCGGGGTGGAAGATCCAGCGCCGCTGGTTCCCGCACAGTTCCCGGGCGCAGATCCGGCAGGCTTCCTTCATCCTCACCGCGTCCAGCATCCCGCAGGGGTCAGAGGTCACGATTGGTCTTCAGGTCTTTAATTAAAACCGATTTAAATCATGAATGAAGCCGCAGGGCTGATGGAGATGCAGATGGAAGAAGCTGCGGGGCAAATCTCGCCGGATCCCGCAGGCGGATCGTGAATCACGCAGATTCTCCTCCTGGGCTGTGATTTTTTTTTTCTTTCCCCCGGAAGGTTTCATGGAAATGAAAGCGCGGCTCCTTTAAATCTTCCCATGACAAAGAAAATAAATTCCGGTTTTCCTTGTCCAGGGTCAGAATCTTTACGGTTCCGGTTCTGGTTCCGGTCTCAGTTAACGGCAGAACCGGCCGCGGACGGAGCGGAACCGCTGCTTTCACTGCGAGGAGGCGACGGAGAGGAACACAAAGATTCTCTATGTCAGACAGGATGCGTCACTCCGCAACCAAAGATCATATGTATGAAGGAAGATGCTCCACTCCAAAAACTACAAAAATCCCCGATGAATGGCTGTACTGTGACTGTGACGCCACCATGTGGCCAGGTCGTAGAATGCAGCTTTTATCAGAGACATGGAGAAACCACTATTTTTATTACTTATGCGTAGCTGCAGAAATTCAACCGTGTCTTCCTCTTTTTATGATTAAATATTCAAAAATAACATTTCATTTCCCCAAAAATGTTTAATATATGTAAAATGCCTTCACTGAGAGAAAAGTGTAACATGAGTCAATATCAGTTTCCACAAACTGATATTTATTTATTTACTTTGATATCAATAGACTTTTGTCCTTAATACCGTTTAAATAAATCTGTTGCAGTATTTAGCATCATGTATTAAACACTCTGCAGACTCACATGAAAAAAATTCAAATACTTCATGAAATTCCCCAAGAAAAAAAAAACGAGGCAGACTTTAAAGGCTACTGAATCAGAAAGCAGATTGTCGTTTATGTTCTGATCTGGAATTTGTGGAGGAGTGAGACCTCTTGAAAACGAAGAGCGGTTTCTCTGCCCTGGTCTTCACCTCACTGTCTGTATACAACCAGGAAATGTCCTCCAGAAATTAATCACTTCCTCCTGGGAAATAAAAAGTATCCTGACAGCGAGCTTTTGGTTACCGGTGGCAACCGATGGTAGAATCTGGAAATAAAAATCCTCTGGATTTAAAACATCAAGCTTTTCTGGTGCAGGTTGGACTGGATTTGGTTTTGAAGGACAGAATCTCCTGCTGCAGTTTTGGAGAAAAGCTTCCACTCAGCCTGTTGTCTTAAAGGGACAGTACACCTCAGAATAAGCGGAAATATTTCACTAAGAGAGGAAAGTTTCCCCAGCAGAGAGACTGGGACCAGTGATGGGAAGAAACAACAAGCAGTAGCAGTCAGTCTACCAACGTTCCTGAACAGGCCTCTGCGGCTTTATGTCAGTCTCACGACCGTTACGACACGCTAACATCCATTACTCCACAGCAACACTTCCTGGATGACATCATCACTGCTAATCCACCTCCTTTGCTTTTGACGCTCCTCTTTAAATGTGTCTGGTTTTACAGCCAGAGAGACGGAGTTGGGATCAGATCCTTAACCTCTGGCTGGGTGTTTGTTTGGGCTTGAAGGTCATCCGTTTTGTTTGCCAAAGATCTTCTATTTCCCGTCGTGAAGGACGGAAGAGACGCTTCGAATTTCCTGCTTCTCCTTTCCAGTTCCTCTGGGATTTCAAGTCAGAGTTCAGGTATTATTTGTAAAAAAAAAAATCCCACATTGTTGCCATGGTAACGCACCCTGAAAGTTAAAAATGGACGGGAATCGTTCCAGCCGAACAGCATCCAGAACCAAACATGGAAACGACTCGACCCAGAAAACGGTGCCGCCATCAGCAATGCTAATCTAAGGATTCAGAATCTAAAGAAGTTTAAAAAATATTGCATGAATAAATATCTAAAGCTCTTCTTTTACTCTATTTTTATTGATATTAATCATGTTTTAGCTGCTTTGGATTTTTGTTTCCACATGGCAGAACACAGGGAGCCAAATAAGGGTGGAAGTTTATCGTATCGTTTATCACTTATCGTGATAAATTTCTTAACATGATCATTTTGTCACAGTAAATTCCAAACAATGATGTTCAAAATCCACTAAAACTGACCTTATTCTCAGGATTATTGGCTACATTATTTTCTATAAATACCAGGAAACGTGAAGGTAAAGACTGGTGTCCTAAATGAACTCGCTGCAAGTGGGAACGTTTTAAAGATCAGTTTCTGTGGGGCTCTTATTGCTGTGACACTCAGTCATTTATATCACAACAGAATCGCACCATGACGTCCCGTCCATTAACTGGTTCATGCCCGTTTCCGGGGCAACCGGAGCGCCTGGTTTCACCGCCTCACAGATAAACCAAACGTCTCCATCCGTCACAGCGAGCAGCATCTATGTTGATAGATCTACGGCCATGTGGGGTTTGTTTTCCTGGACCGCCACCGGATCCACATCCGTCACCGTCCGGACGCCACGGCAACCATCCATCGTCTGGGACGAGGCTCGCAATCAAAGATCAATTAATCCCAATCAGAGGGAAGTGCCAAACATGGCCGACCGACGGCGGCGGAGACGGACGAGCCGTCGCCATGGTTTCTTCTCCCGCTCCTCATTGTTCCGAACGGTCAGCGGATCGCGATCACAAACTAATTTACTGACGAATGTTTGCGTGTTATTACAAACAGAAGTTTTAATGTAACATTTTAAAAACTGAATAAACTTTAAAAAGTACATCTGTCTGCTGCAAGGCGCAAAGAAAACAGAAAAATAAAATAAATTCTGGTTATTTAGATAAAATGTGCATAAAAACCAGATTAATCATTCACAGCAGATTTTATCCTGATGCACCAGCAGGTGGCGCTACAACATATTAAACATTTTAAAAATAAACAGATTATAGGAGTTTCTGGGGTTTTATTCAGTGCGGTAAAAGCAGTAAATACCAACTGTGTGTCGTTTTATGAGGCTGGTTTTACCTTCAGGAGGAAGACGAATGACTCCAAACATTTTGGTCAACCTCAGGAAGATTTCAGGCTGAAACATTTTGACTTTAACTTCCCTAATGCAGTCGATTGGCTTCATCAAACATGTTTGAGGAAATTCAGCGGCCATGATGAAGCCCAACTGAGACAAAACAGAAAAGATCAGAGGTCCGAACACACGACCCTGTGGGATTCCATCATCGTTTCAGCAGAAGCTGCTCAGACGTCTGGTGGTTTAAATGCTTCTAATTTAACATTTTGTTCTTAGTTTCAGTCATTAACATGAAGGAAATCTCTCTCAGGGGTTCAAACTCCAACTCCAGAAAAGTTAAATAATTTACCGAAAAACATAAATATTAAATATGTTTCAACTTTGACTAGACATTTTTTTAAAATACACATCAAGTTTATTTAATATTCTTAAAGCCTCATTAATTATGGAATAATTAAATCCACTGCACTTTAAAAGCTTAAAGCTGTTTTGTTGTTGTGTTTAATCAGATCAGCTGAATAAAATTATTTCAGCCAAATATTTGTTTTAATTAGTTTTGATTAATTCATTATATGGATTTATTGCAGTAAAACCTTTTCTTGTACGATTAATTACACGTTTTTATATAAAAGTTCCAGTTGGAACTTTTGTAATTGCATGTTTCAGGTACACCTGTATATCTGACGCACAAGCTACATTCGCTAGCAGCAACAGGCGATGAAGCCGCTTCTCTCTGACGCTGGACTGGCTCGTTTAGTCGATAAAGATTCAGATTAAAATCTGATTAATTATTTACAGACTTCATTAAATATTTTCACATTTTTCATTAGTAAAATCTTCAGTGTGAAGTTTTATTTCTGCTCTAGCCGTCAGGAAAGACAGATGGGGGAAAAAATACCTCAGCGCCTCGTTCTCTGTTCTCCAGTGAGGATGAAAGGTCATGAACTTTGACCTGGAGCTCTTCGACCTGGAGGCTTAGCGACTGTTTCTGCTGCACCAAATCCTCAATCAGCCTGAAACAGGAAGTGGAGCGAAGCTCAGAGGTCTGAGGGCAGAACTCACCCAGAACCAGATCTACATGAAGTCTGTGGTGAACTGATGTTCGGTTTGTGTTGAAGAGGAAGAGTGAAAAGGTTTCCAGTCACCTGTCTGCGTCAGTCGGACTCGTCTGGACTCGAGCCGAGTCTCCGTGTTCCTCCATCTTCTCCAGCATCTCCCTCTGCAGAGCCAGGCTGCGCTGGGCCTCGGCGTCCGCCAGCGACGCCATGCGCCGGGCCTCGCTCCGGGCCGCCTCGGCCTCCTGGACCACACAACCACAACGCTCAGGTGTTCAGTTCATGATGACCGTTTCTGGATATCAGCCAATCAGGAAGAGGCTCTGGACCTTTTGCAGCAGCTGAACTTTGTCCTCCAGCATCTCCTGCATGTGTCTGACCTCGTCCTGCCGCTCCAGCAGGCGGCGCTGCAGCTCTGCTTCATTCTGATTGGACAGGACCTCGGCTGTGGATCTGAGTGGGTCAGAACATCAGCTGCTGTTTCAGCGAAGCGGCAGAAACAATTCAGCTCCTAAACATCAACGATTCTCTTGTATTTATAAAGAGAAAATCTCAAAACATGTTTTTTGTTGTAGATGGATATTTCTGGCGGTTATTATCCGAGTCATTTTTCCTCCAAACAGGATTTAAAACCAGGAAGTAAAAAAGACAGAAATGCTTTAACAGTCATGCTGAAGGGACACATTTTGCTCTATTTAGTTTAAAAAGCAAAAAACTTACATTTAAATTGATCACAAAATACAAATGTATAATTCATTAGATATCTGAAAACCCCAAATCTGTGACCCAGGCTGAGGATTTAATATTTGACGTAAAACAGGATCACCATCAGCTTCAGCTTAGCAAGCGGTGGGTTTAAAACGTTGTCTCTGTGCAGACATTCGGTCTGGTCTGAAGGTTTTCCTCAGCTGAAATGAAGCCGACACCGGCCCTTTAAGAGCACCCAGCAGGCGGGAGACGTGAAGTGGGTCGGCTACTCACAGCGCCCGGTCCAGAAGCTCCTGCTTCTCCTGCAGGTCCTTCTTCAGACTCTCAACCTCCACCTTCAGCTCAATGTTCTGCAGGACAAATGGGAAGAACGATGAGAAACGTCTGACCACTTCCTGCTCACATCCTGTTTACTTCCTGCTCACGTCCTGTTTACTTCCTGCTCACATCCTGTTTACTTCCTGCTCACATCCTGTTTACCTCCTGCTCACATCCTGTTTACTTCCTGCTCACATCCTGTTTACTTCCTGCTCACATCCTGACCGCTTCCTGCTCACATCCTGGCCGCTTCCTGTTTACTTCCTGCTCACATCCTGTTTACTTCCTGCTCACATCCTGATTACTTCCGGCTCACATCCTGACCACTTCCTGCTCACATTCTGACCGCTTCCTGTTTGCTTCCTGCTCACATCCTGACCACTTCCTGTTTACTTCCTGCAGGTTCAGAGTTTCTTTCCCTGGACTCAGGATCAGATTCCAGAGGTCAGAGGTCATCATCAATATGTTTAAAGCTAAAGCAGCGCAGTCTAAGTTTTTGCAGTGAGTTGACTAACACCAAATTTTGGTTGACCTCTGATGACCTCTGGAAACTTTTTAAATAATATCTTTAAAAAGTTTTTACTGCACAAACATTTGACACCAGTTCTGGATTTGGGTGATGTGAGGTTGACCTTTTGACCTTTAAACTTTCACTAATATCTTCAAAGCAAAAGCAGCACAAACAAACGTTCGACACCAGTTCTGTTAGATCTGAGATACAGATCTACGTTTTCCAGCCATTCTCCAGGGTGGAGGAACGACAGAACCAGAACCAGAACCAGAACCAGCGACCTCTCCTCTGGGTTTGTGTTTGTTTGGGTCTAATCTTGGCTCCTCCACCTGCTGCGTCTGTAACAACATCCAGCAGCGCCTCCACTTTTAGCCCCTCGCTCCGTCTGCAGCAACAAACCGGACCGGACCGGACCGGACCGGACCAGCGGCTCTGCTCACGTGCAGCAGGTCGCTGACCCACTGACACACAGACACAGGTGTCCGGTTCAGATCCAGAGCAGGGCTAAAAATGGAGCAGGGCAGAATGTGGGTCAATGGGCTGCAGACGCACAAAATAAAAAGATTATTTTTAATATTTTACAAAGAAACGACGAGTTTATACTCTTTAACCTTCTGATTTTATTCTCCACAGATCTGACCGACGTTGGTCTCTCCTTCAAATCTCAACAAACTGGTGACAAATTATGTTTATTTTAAAAAAAATACTGAGTCAAAACTTTAGGTTTCCATATTCCAGGAAGTAAATGGAAACATGAAATTATCAATAATCCACCAGTTATTACACTCATAATTATGACGACACATTAGCGTCAGTAGACAGAAAAGGAGTACATTTCTGTCCAAAATTTAGAAACTCTCATTAATTTTAGACGTTTTCTAGAAAAAACTCAGATTTCTGAGCTCCAACAAGTTCAAAATTTGCAAGTAAAAAACTCAGAAAATTTGAAATAATTCTCAGAAATTTGAAGGAAAAAACCCCCAGAAAATTTCAAGAAGTTGAAAATTTTGACTTTTGAAACTCAGAAGATTTTTTTTTTTCTGTCTCCAACGGTCCCAACGCCGTCATGAAACATCCATGATCATAACAAGAAACCCGTATTTAACATATTTAATTTAAACAGTGGATGAACAACCATTATTTATTTAAATTCAACAAAAAGCAAAACTAGCATCAAGAACAAAAACACCAAAAATTAACTGACTGATAATATCATATATGATAATCACATGTTCATTCATGCTACTATTATATCAAAGATATTAATAAATTGGACGGAGGATTTAATAAGGTTTTATATTTGATTTTTATAACCTTTGTTCTTTTTCCATTTTTTCTCTGATATTTTAGTTGTTTGAAATAAATAAACATTTGGTTTCAAAGATATTAACAAATGTCTCCAGAGGTCACCCGGTCCCACAAATGTCCTAGTTAAAGTCTGCTGTGAGTCTCTCTGGGTTCTGCCACTCACCGCCCTGTGGACGCCGTCGCCGCTCTGATCAAACTTCTGCTGGATCTTCTCCTCCAGGAAGTAGATCCGCAGCTTCAGGCTGAAGTTCTCCTTCTTCAGGTCGTTCAGGTGCTGTGAGACGGTGCGGTAACCACGGAAACCAGAGTTAGCCATGAGCAGCGGCGCCGCGGGGGCCTCTACAGACCCCATCACACCAGAAACTACCGAATGTCCTGAAGAAACGCAACACAAGCTGAGCAACTGCAGCACAGCTGAATGAAGCTATCGCTAACGCTAAGACAGTCTGGTCAGGGTGGGATCAGCTGGGAGGGGCAACAGGGGCTTCTGTTTTACCCCCAGAGAGAGAGAGATGAAGAATGTGAGAGCAGAGCGTCTGATGAGAACCAACAGAAGCTCTGACTGACTGCAGCTAACAGAAGGAGGCAGAGCAGAAAAAATCATGCAAGAGTAAAACGTATTTGGTAAAAAGTCGACTCAAGTCCTGAGTAACTGATCAAATTATCAATAATTTAATACTTTAAAGTTACACCAATCCACTTGGGAAATCTACATGAACAACGATTGCTCTAGAAAAGGAATCATCTCCAAACTACATAGCATGTTAGCGGAGGGATCCTCTGAGTCTGGAGGGAGGATGTCTAGGAGAACCTGCCTCCAGCACCACCAAAGTCCTGCAGCAGAACTACTGAGGACGTTTGTGACGCCAGGACAGCTTCATGCAGACAATGGTGCCGTCCCAGAGCCGAGGACAAGGAAACGCTCTTACGTCGTGTCTGGAAATGCAACAAAGTTCAACAACAAGGAGGGAGAGGAGAGTAGCTCTGGAGGCACCAAATGGTTCGTCCAGAAAAATAATTACTGCTGGGTTTATGCTCACTGCTCGCAACTGAGTAAAAGTAACTAGTTACTACCCAACTGAGGCTAACCGTAAACCGGATCTGGTTCTCCTGGAGGTCAGAGGTCAAAGATCAATCACCTGGATTCATTTGGTCTCGTTTTAATTTATCATGCGATTCATTGATTTATTGCAACAGGCCTGCTAAAGTACATTGTAGGAATAAATAATAAAAAACATTAAAAACTAAAAATAAAACACTATAAACGTACAAAAGAAAATAAAATACATTAGGGATTCCTAAAATACAATTTTATATTTACAAATGTTAAGTTGAATGTTTCATGTAAAGACTTTAGCAAACAATAAATAAATTCCAAATAAATAATTCTAAAACAAAATAACAAAAATGTTCTGGCAATAAGGATCAAACTGTAAATAAGCATAAAATTAAACTAAAATATCATCAACGTTAGTAGCAAAGATTTTGTGGATAAACGAAGAATTTGACTCACAACGTAAATGTTAAATTTCATAAAATAAACTAAATGATTCACATTCAGCACAGGATTCAGTTCAACAGAAACATTGATTGGAGCCACGGACCGTGACCTTTGACCTCTGATGCGTGTTTCTGGTCAGATGCAGAAGCGGCCTGACCCTCTGCCAGCGTTCAGGTGAGTTCAGCTGCAGCGGCGTTTGGGTTTTTCCTCCCGTCTCTGAATGAAGGCCTTGTTTAACCACCGCTATGATCCGGCCACAGGGAGGCGCTGTGGCTCCAGCAGGCCTGGCTGCAGGAACCATGCAGAGCGTTCAGCGCCTCGTCTTCAGATGAACCCGAACAAACTGCGCTAAGAGCTGCAGGGACGTCTGCAGCGCCGCATTAACAACAACACAACTTATTAATGAGGGCAGCTCAGCAGCTGAATGTCGGCAACATGACCCAGACACCAGTTCTCATGATTTTTATCAGATTTGATCAGAATCTCCTTTTGCTCCTTCTGTCTCCTCAGTTATGAACTAATTCATCTCAAAGCAGATCACTATAAATACCTGCAGGATCATTTTCAGGTTGCTGCGGTTGTTGGCCATAAAGAGATCTAAAAATAAAAACGGATTGAATTTCCTCAGACAGCTGCAGCTTCTGGCTGCGCTGCTGCATTCCTCATTTAATATTTCATATTAAACAAACTGAAAAACACGACACAGTTCTGCTGAATTTCACCCGTTTTCCGCCTGAATTAGCAGCTTTTAGCTAACGGCAGGATTTTCATACAATCTGCCACAAACAGAGCAGACCAACAGAAGGTGGCGCTGTCGCTCTGGTTCTATTAAATCTACATAAAAATGGACGCCGTTTGTAAAGTTACAGTCACAAATTAACAGCAATAATTTCAGAAATTTAAAAAACATTTGTTTGTTTGTCTGATTCATTCAGTTATAAATGTCAAAGGTTGTAACTAAATAAATGGAGTCAGGCTAAATATTTAGTTAGCAAGCTAAATATAAAGCTCCAAACTAAGTATTTAGTGAAGAAACAATATGTATTTCATTGGACAAACTAAATAATTATCTACTATCTAAAAATTAAGAAACAAGCTCAATATTTACTAAATAAACACACCAAGCTAATTCTTTTTGTTTGCTAAAATATCTAGCTTAATTATTTTTAGTTATTAACCAAATTAATATTTACTTTGAAACTGATATTTATAAACTAATTAATAACATGGTGAAACTATGACCTTGACAGGCAACATAATCCAGATTATTGCTGTTCATTTCTGACAGATTTCCTCCAGAAGCTTCAGGTCAGATTACATCAGGATGGCACGTATGAGCAGAACTTCCTGTTTCTGGGTTTTCAGTCAGAAAGACGTTCAAACTGCAGCAAAGAGCTAAACAAATATAAATTGAACCAGAAACACTGAAAAACTTTCATTTCCACAGAAAATCCAAACATCAGTGAAATTCCTGCCAGACGATTCCAGGTTTTCCTGTCAGACTGTTAGCAGTGCTGAATAACTGAAGTGGAAACTTCAGCGCAGTCACTCGGGTCCAGGACCTGAAAACCCAGAACGCCAGCGGCTCGTCCAGAGGTCAGAGAGAAACGATCAGAACAGGAAGTGGGATTAAAATGAAATCAGCCAAACTGTCCAGGAACACCGAGACCCCACTGAGCCTCACACAGGATCTTCATGGCTGACCGAAGCCTGGCCCCACGAGGGGCAACGCTGTTTTGGGGTCAGGGGTCAGATTTAGGGCTAAGGTGTGAATTGAGTTAGGATGAGGTTTAGGCTGCAGAAATTAATGGAAGTCAATGGAAAGTCCCCACAAAGATAGACATGCAAGTGTGTGTGTGTGTGTGTGTGTGTGTGTGTGTGTGTGTGTGTGGACTGGCATGGCCCTTGGAGTTTTC